TCCCCCTGCCACTTCCAATAGGGACCTGTTTCCATTGTTGTTTGTCCCTTGATACTGTTAATTCTGCCCCCTCTGCCCTCTGGCAAGAGGGTACTGGATTTACAGACTGAATCGGGGGGTTCTCTGAGTGGCTTTCCTGGGAAGACTGCAGAACACAGCTCCACCAGTCTATTTCTTTCTCACATTCCCTGATGGCCCTCAGCCTTTCTACCTCCTCCTTTAGCTCCACCACCAGGCTGAGCAGGTCATCCACCTGCTCACACCTAAGGCAGGCTGTGTTTTTGCTACTCCCCAGTAACATGGAGAGCCTCATGCATTACCCACAGCCAGAAACCTGGACCGCTGCATGTTTCTGTGGCGGTTCAGTCTGTGTCGCCACAGTCTTCCTGGTGGAAGCTCTCTGCTGAGTGGAGACCATGGCTTCACCTGATCTGCTGCTGGAAGGGTCTGTGGAGAGTATTCTTTTCCACATCTGGGAGGAGACTCCCTGCCCCCTGTCTACGCAAACTGCCCCACTCCTGGTCCCTCATCCTCCCTCGGGGCCGCTTTTGAATTCCCGCCTGCCCTGCTGGCTCCGCCCCCGCTGAGTCAGAGCCACCTCTGGCCCGGAGCTCAGCACTGCCTGCACGGGGGTCGGCCCTGGGGCTGCCTCTCGCTGTCTACGCTTTCTTGTTCAGTGGCTTTTGCCACAGTTGTTCGCCTCTAGACAAGGTGCTCCGGCACGAGCGTCTGCTCCAGAGCCCTTCCCTTCGAGATATTATGGTGTCTTCTGTACACAAGGATGTCTTCTGTCTACATTTTTTCATGGTTCTCGTGTACTGAGTTCATCTCACAGAGCTCTAGTTCGTCCTGCTTATTCCCCATTCTTACACCTCATTAGAGAACATTTTGAAAAAAAATCTATTTTGAAAGAGAGGCATTTTGAATCAGAGAGTCCCTGGAATGCTCTTTTTGCATTTCTCCTTTGGTTTTGGAAATGAAGTTTACGTTGCATCTTCTACATCTAGCTTCACATACCTGAGCTGTATGGCCACCCCTACTGACAGTGCAGTGAGCGCTCAGGGCAATCTCAGAACACAGGCTGGCTTTCTGATGCCGTGGCAGGAATCTTGCAGGACGTTGTTCAAATACAGAATACAGGACAATTTAGCACGATGTACATGAAAAAGAGAAAGAGTGCTTCAATTTGCTCATCTAAAGGCTACAGTTATTTTCCCCTTTCTCCTTCCAATCGGTCTATTCACATTACGAAAAGATTAGTGATCCAACAATGTTTTCACCTATAGTAGGTCTGTGTGTGTGTGTGTATACATAAAAATGTAATTTTAACAATCCAAAACCCACCACCACTGGCTAAAACCATAAAACTAAATTTTCACAAAGTGTCAGTGGCCTCCTATGAAATCAGGCTTGTTAACGAAGGTGGCTGACACTTAATGGGCAGAGCATTTTAGAATTGAAATAAGCATTTGCTGCTTTTCAATGCATCACTACAGATATTGCATCACATTAAAAAAGCCCTGAAAAAAAGCAATAGAAAAAAATATACTTTATAAAGAAACAAGTATATTATTTTCCAATGCTTAGGTGAAATATATCACTATATATCAGAGTTTTAAAATGCCCACCATATTACCAGAATAAGCAGCCTGCACAGGTTTTGGAAAACTTTTCCAAAGGGCCTTCCTATTTTCCGATCAAGTCCTGTCTTGATAGGGCTGAACTAAGGACTTTAAGACCTCTCAAACCCATATCACTGCAAAAACTTTGGCACATGATTTTTAGGCTTGCCACAGCTGAGGTCCCAGATTCAAACAGACTCCCTGCTGCAGAGCTAAGAAAACCTATGGGCTCTGCTGTGTGCTTAAGCACGACGTAGACTTCCTAAGGAAATGTCCTAGGGAAGCAGCACAGAACGAAATCTTTTTGACTAGTGCTAAAAATCAGTTTTTCTACTAGTAGTTTATATAGCAATTTCGGCTTCTAAAAATGCTATCCAGCATTATATTGAATAGGATATTTTTAATTAAAGATGTGTCAAATGCCTCCAAAAACTGTCATGAATTTATATTGCCCAAGCTGACTGTGATGATTCCATAGGAACTTAAGGAAAAATTTCTTAACAGTGAGGGTGACAGAGCACTGGAACAGGCTGCCCAGAGAGGTTGTGGAGTCTCTTTCTCTGGAGATCTTCAAAACCCGCTTGGATGCAGTCCTGTGCCACGTGCTCTAGGTGTCCCTGCATATGCAGGGGGGTTGGACTAGATGATCTCTAGAGGTCCCTTCCAACCCTAAGCATTCTATGATTCTATGATTCTATGATTTCCTTTATATAGCAATAGTGTCTATTTCATCAGAGATATTGTACATAAGTCTAACATTTATAATGGACACAATACACATATACATACACTACATATGTAAAGATAATATCTAGAGAAGATCAACAGGTGCATTTCCAACCTAAATTATTTTATCATTCTAAAAACACAAGGGAAGTTTATCTTGCATGGTACTGCTTCAGTCAATCAGGCAGGCTCAGTTGGCACCAATAAAAGAGGATATTGCTTTTCTTTAAACACCAATGAGGCTCCTTCTGCAATTGTTCTCTAAACTCAGAATTAGATTCCCTCAGACTGCTTTAGTCAAAATCAACCCAGTTGGCTTCAACAGTAGGTCGGTCTTTGCTAACCCTTTTACTTTGACCAAAATAAACAACAAGTGTTTGCATAAGCAATTCTGCAAGCAGATCTGAACGAGTGATGACCTCTTGCAGGAGGGCAAGACAGGCAGCTGAGATGGTAAGCAGTAATCTCTTCCACAGCACAGCTGGTTGTAATACACTGACACCTTGACACAAAACCATTGCAACCATTTAACCAACCACATCAGGAAAAAGTGCATCATGGCTAGTTCGACAGAACTTGCATTCAGAGAGGCAACTGTTCTTTGTCAGGTAACACACAGACTCATATTAGTGCGAGTGAGATAAAGAAACATGGGCTGAGGGAGCAAGAAAAAAAATAAAGAAAATATAGGAGTTTGTCTGGAGAGCCTTCTTCCACTGACTCCTCCCTTACTTCTCAGGAAATCTACAGCTACAGATACTAGTACTGATGTACTTATTAAAAAAAAAAATCAGTACTTAAATCACCTATTAGGTCACTGCTACATTATCTATATAGATCCACCTGTGCAAGATTAGCTCAGTTGTACATCTATGGAAGAATGTTTGTTAAAAAGCAGGGGAAGAGGAAAGACCAGTCAAAAATATGGAGGAAATAACCACTGAGAGTTATTGAATACAAAGAAACTACACCCAGACCAGGAAATCCCTAATCAAAAAATAGTCAGAGACTGAGAACAGAGGTGAGGCATCATATAAACTTACTTTTTATTAGGAATCCATTTTTGACCTCCATGGGAGTCAGGACACTAGGCCAGGCAGTACAAGCACTTGTGTTCTAAAGTCTGTCTTGCATGAACTGATAAGCTGCAGAATGATATTGGGAAAACTATAATCTCTATTCACCCTTGCACTCGAAAAGCTTACATTTTACCTTTTAAATTTCAACCAAGTCTTAAGCTTGTGAGAGGTGGTCCAATCAAAAAATGTGCAAAAGTTCAGGCTATTTCAGGTTCAATTTTTGATTTTGATTTTAGATTTTATTTGGTGTAAAATTTTCTTCTTGTTCTACTTGGGAGAAAACGAGACCAGCCTATAAAACTGTGAATGTACAACTGTCAGGAACAAAAGAGTTCTAGGAATGCCTGCATCTATGGCTTAAGAAAAGCATTAAGGGAAAAGAGAGAGAAACAATGAGGCCATGAAATGATTTTTAAGTTATCTCAACCAGTGGAAAATATATATGTGAGATCCATAGTTCAAGCTGTATTTACTCCTTTCAGGTAGTTGTAGAGAGCAATAAGGTCTCCCCTGAGCCTCCTCTTCTCCAGACTAAACAACCCCAGCCCCCTCAGCCGTTCTTCATAAGGTCCAGCCCCTTCACCAGCTTCGCTGCCCTTCTTTGGACACTCTCCAGCACCTCAATGTCTTTCTTGTAGTGAGGGGCCCAAAACTGAACACAGTATTCGAGGTGCGGCCTCACCAGGGCCAAGTACAGGGGGATGATCACTTCCCTGGTCCTGCTGGCTACACTGTTCCTGATACAAGCCAGGAGGCCATTGGCCTTCTTGGACACCTGGGCACACTGCTGGCTCATGTTCAGCCGGCTGTCAGCCAGCACCCCCAGATCCTTTTCTGCCGCACAGCTCTCCAGCCACTCTGCCCCAAGCCTGTAGCACTGCTTGGGGTTGCTGTGACCAAAGTGCAGGAGCCGGCCCTTGGCCTTGTTGCACCTCATACAGTTGGCCTCAGCCCAGCAATCCAGCCTGTCCAGATCCCTCTGTAGAGCCTTCCTACCATCAAGCCTTGTGGAAGAATTACTTGAAAGGGGCAACTTAGAGAAAGACTAGGGCCTAACAGAAGTTTTGGCATTACAGAAGCTTGCTTGGGGTGATACACAGTTGCCACTTCCAGGATGGTTGGTACGCATGGACTCAGCTCCTCCACGGTTCCCTAGACAACTCAATCTGCCCTCCTCGCAGCTGCAAAGGGGAGTAACGGAGGATGGAGCGGAGTGAAGACACTGCGGCCAAACTCTGCTGTACTCCCTGTGCCATGCCGCCGATAAGCCGCACAGTAGCTGTCCAGTGGGAGATATACGATAACATGTCCGGTGCTGAGCCAGCAAGGGTGGCAAATCATGCCTTTCGGATGAACTTTGCTTGAACTTTGCTCATTATAAGCTCATTATAATGTCAAAACACACCTCCATCCCCAAAGTTACCTGCCTCTGAGGTACGACCACTCCTCACTGAGCATGCACTCTAGATTTTTGATTGACTGTACCTTTAAATGA